TTTGTGAGTTTTTATAAAAAATTTTTTTTTGGCTCAACACCTTTCATGCCCTTTAAAGAACTAATTTCTGTGTGGATTTTTCTGAAAAACGTCGATTAAAGGCACTAAAAATGTTAATTTTCAGTTACCACGGACTCTTAAGCTAAGGAAATAAATAATCTTTGCCGGCCATTTCTCACTAATTTTACCTCTGAAAACAGGTGACCCCCACCCCCTTCATTCGGAAATATCTCGACTTGTATTCAAGATAAATGGATATTTTTTATCATTCAAATAAAGACAAGTGAGCAAGCTTTAAGATGATACCAATACCTCTACATGCCCAAAAATTGACGAGAGCCTTATTCCACCACGGTGCCTCACATGTTATTTTACTTAATTTCCCTAAAGTTTAGGAGAGAAGCAGACCCCTTTAGCTGCATGGTTACGAACAATTTTCCATTCAACTTCTTTAAAAACAACAACGGCAACCTTAAGAACAAATAAATGTTTAAAAAAATAGTTTTGATGTCCGCATAAAAAGACTGTTTTCTTCAAAACAGGTTTGATTACAATTTATTGAAGTTAATTTTATCCACAGTTTTTCAGAATGAGCGTTTCTTTCACTACAGACGACACAACTGTCATGGACCCCTGCACTCTTCCGGTACTGGGTCTTTGCCTCATCGTTTTAGGTTGGCTGTATCAACGGCAGATTCGAACCAAAGACAAGCAACTTTACGGGCGAGCCATCCCCGGACCCACTGGGTGGAGGAGTATGAAGGCCTTTCTCAGCGGTGCTTTCAATAACAACCTTCACATCTTTGCCTGGGAGTGCGCCAGACGCTATGGCGACGTCGTCCAAGTAAGGCCTTTTGAAAGTCAGCTATTGTTGCGAATACATTATTCCTGCTAACACAATTGGTCGCTTTTTAAGGACAAGCGGGCCAACCCAGATTTCGGGGGTTTACAGAAATTTTGACCTACAAAAAAAGGGGGTATTGCCCTACCTATAGAAGGAGTTTGATTTCATTGGTGTGTATATTTGTTTGGATATAGAGAAAACTCTCATTGTCTTTTAAAGAAACTGAAAAAGGGTCCAAAAACTTTAACTTCGATTTTCTCAAAACAGCACTTTTCGGGATAGCCCCCTTGTGCTTAAAAGCGACCAATTAAAAGTAGATAAATGCTAGGTTTTGGTTATATGAAACGCCACCAGACAGATTATGAAGAAAGTAATTGAAAGCAAAATGTGAGGTGGAAAGGGCCAACACACACCATTATGATGAAAAAGAAATCTAAGACAAGAAGTTGGAGTGAGGTTGGGG